TGAACAAGAGTATTTGAGTCCGAGTAGGTTTCTGATAGAAGCATTCATGAGGACTTTGGGCAGGCTCAGGAGCTTCTGTGTGAATTCATTATGTTTATGTCAGCATGTCAGAAAACAATGGAGTACATTTTGGCACCGAAACCTTTTGAAATGAAAACATTTCTTTCCCTTCAGATACTCTAAATAGCATTAGTGATAGCATTAGGAATTTTGAGATAAAACCAATGTTGGTAACAGTTTAAGTGGTTTGACTGTAAAGAGGAAACTGATAGGGTTTCCACCAAGCCCATGGCACAGCAGTAGTAAGAGCATAGCTGTGAATGGCCTTCTGTAGCTGCCACAATGTGCCAGTAAAGCTTTGCCTCTTGAGCAGGACTCCTGTCCGTGACCAGGAAAAGATGAAGCAGAGGGGTTAAGTCTTCTGTAAGACTTACTGTCTCCCAGAGGAAAAAGACAACCATCTGTCCTGAAGTGTGCTGCTGTTCTAGCTTGGCTTAAGATGCCATCGCCCAACATTACCATAGTCACCAGTCAGCACCCTGCTTCTGGCTGCCTTTTTTTAGGGGTAAATGTTATGACAGATTCTGGGAAGGGTCCTTTGGTCCATCTAGAAATACGAAGTTTTCTCAGTTTCTTTTAGGCTTCTTCTGTTGGTCTTTTTTTCCCGTTGTTTATTTTTTTTGACAGATTTATTTTTTCAGTAGGTCACCTTTTTCTTATTTTGGAGACCAAATGTTGCAGCCATAATACCTTTATGGACTGGACTCATATTTAGCAAGCAGTTTCTTTCTTTCTTTTGCAATGAGTTCACTTTGAACTACCTCTTTTGCGAGAAGCCTTGCTCTTGTCCTGAGGTGAGGGTCCAGAAGAGAAGGTCCAGCTTCTGATGCTGAAGCTCTCATCAGCATGCAGACAGCACCTTGCTCTGCCTTATTTTCACTGGCTGCAGGTGGTATGCAGATTCTCAGGGTCTGAGAGGTGCTGGGACTTGGAGACAGGAGGTAGCTGAAGCCTATGCAGCTTAAGAAAATAGTAATGGGGGGCATGTGGGGAAGAACTGAGCATATATTGAAATAGAAAAGGCAGTGGTAGAGCTCGAGGGCCATAATGGTGTCCAAATTGATTTTCCCAAGTGGTGGTTTCCTCAATAAAGTAACATAATCAACATGTAGCAGAGTTGTGCAGGAGAATTGTAGTAAGGGAAATTGATCTCAAATTACTTAATTCACATCAGCTTGAGGGAACAGTGCTTAATAAATAATACTTGTCTACAGAAGTGACTCAAAGAATGACGCTCACTACATACCTGTCTCAGATGTTCTCATTCTTAACTCCTGTAATGATGAATAGCAGTGGTGGTCCAGGAGATAGTTTCTCTTGATATAATTTGTTTTATAAGATACTTGGGAACTGCTTACCTGGAAGACTGGTACAGACTGGTACTATGCTCTCTTCAGCTTTTGATGCAAGACGAAGTGTTCATTTCATGAGCCAGGGTGAGTTTCAGCTCATACTTCCTGGGGAATCCCATGTTATGTAAAAGTGTCACAAGTTAGAAGGTTTTCTGCTCTCAGAGTTTTTGTTGATGTTTATGGATGCACAGTCAGTTTGCAAACATTGATTGGATTTCATACTGGCCCTGATCAGTCTCAAAAACCAAACGCTGTTCAAAAATGAATTTTAGTTCAAATGCTGGAGAGTAAAGAGATGTTTAGAAAACAGGGTGGTATTTTTTTTCCTTGCAAGATGTTTAAGTGGTTTTTGGGTTTTCTTTTTGCTTAACAGGGAACATCCATAGGTAAATGTCCAAAAAACAAACTGTTTAAAGGTTATATTGAATTGGAGTTACAACTGCGAGAGTTTGATCGTTGCCGAAAGCTGTATGAAAAATTTCTGGAGTTTGCACCGGAAAACTGCACATCATGGATTAAATTTGCTGAGCTTGAGACCATTCTTGGTGATATTGATAGAGCCCGTGCAATATATGAATTGGCCATTGGCCAGCCCCGCCTAGACATGCCAGAGGTAAGGGGGCAGATGAGCTTTACAGTTGGCACAATTTTAAGGTATTTATTACACAGTGTGGCGAATTAAAATGTAAATAATCTACCAGCTTGAACAGAACTGCTTACCATAGTGGCTTAGCCCGAGTCTCATTAATTTAGCATCTGTTTCTTGGCAGGGTATGCAGGGCTATAAAACCCATGATAACACATGGAGGGAGAAACATGCTTACAGGAGTAAACTAAATTGATTATGTGCACAAGATTTGATATTGTTTACCCATAATCCTAGCTCATACAGTCCATAAATACTCAGATCTCTGAAACTTTTTTCAGAGAAATTTCACATTTATCCTTGTTCCTCTTCTATTTTCTTTTTTTTTTCCCCCCATTGTCTCAGTGTGCTATGAATATAATGAGAGACTTCTCTTTTGCAGGTTCTTTGGAAGTCCTACATTGACTTTGAAATTGAGCAAGAAGAGTATGAGAAAACAAGAAACCTTTACCGCAGATTACTTCAGCGGACACAGCATGTTAAGGTCTGTATGGGTACCCAGAACAGAGAGGTGGTCCTGAATCTGGTCCATGGTGGATGGAAACCCTTGACTGCTTTGGTTGTCTGGCTTTTTCAGATCAATAGTGAACCTAAGTTCAGTGCCATGAAATGGGGAAAGAGATTTCTAAATTATATATAACACCAGGCATGTCTTACATGAAAGAAGGCTTTGCAGAAAGTTTCCA